CTTCTTCACCTTCTCCATTTGGATTATTGTCCCCAGAATCACTCTGGCCAGCATTTTCCTTGATAGGGAATCATAGCCAGTAGCCATGCTGGCTGGGGGTTTTCTGGGAGCTGGAGCACCAAAATTAGCTTTCTCAACTGCTGGCAAGCACAATGGCCCCTGTAACCAATCTTTTCTCCACCAAGGAGGGAAGGGATAAACAGCATAAAAGAAAACCCACAACAACTTCTACTCAATCTCAAGCATCCCTTCAGACTTGACACCATTCACCAATCCTGGAATATAGGAGAGGGAATCCCACCCACCCCCGTGACTAAGAAATAAAGAAATAAAGACAGCCAATTGGTGTCTGTTAATTTGGTGTGTGACAATGGTGGTGGCGTCATACCAAAACATATGCTGCATTTGAAGAAGCAGGTCCTAGAAACACAGCAAGCACATAGCCCATGAAAACTCTTGGAAGCCCCCAAACATGCCAGTAGGAAAGGATCCGAGGTGCTTCGTGACCAGCAAATAGACCACAAGCACCCCCTCCTCAGGAATTAACCACTTTTGCCTCGTAGCCTACAAGACTAATCACCTCCATCCTGCTGGCGTAACTGAGAAGACAGGCTTATTTCCCAGTCTTCTAGCCACCGCCTGCTGTCTGCTACCTGGCATTAGTATTCAAAAGCGGACTGAAGAAATCTAGGTAGTATTAAGCTACCTGCCCCACAGGACTCCTATCTTGAGGCTATGTTGCTGAGCCATTTGTCATGACAGGCGGGGCTGGGTGTGTGTGCGAGGATGAACCCTGCTCATTCAAATGCAGAAACAGACATGAAGTGTCAAAATATTTAGCAAGTGACCTGAATGGAAGGCAAAGGAAAGATTAAAAAGTTGTATTTTCTCCTCATCTTCCAGCTTCTGAATGTGCATGTAGATTGGTACTCTTAGACTTCCTTCCTCCTTTTTCCTTTGGGCTCACTTTCTGTTTGCGCCCCTCATACTCAGAGACTAGCACTTGCTTCCATGTTTACAACTCTGTTCAGACAACTGCTTATCAGTCTGTTCATGGCTTCTCTGGAATGGCTGCCTGAGCAGATTTACAAATATGGAAACAAGCACTAAAGATTTCTATAAATAAACTGAGATACATTTTCCCCCTTTTACATTATATCTAAAAGGATCTCCTAAACCAATAGATAATAAAGTACTTTTGGTTTTTTGCCATAATACCTGTTTGCAAACTGATCATTCCTGGTCAATAGTCAGAAAGGCAGCACTAGGCTGCTGCAGTCTGCCAAATCATCCTAACCCAAGGGACACATATAGCACATTGAAAGTCTTCAGCAAATAGAAGCATAGATGGAGTGGATCCTACAAAGATAAAGCTATATTAGGCGTATTGAAAAATGCCCTGAGCATAAAGTACTATTTCTCCAGAGCTTTCTGCCATGTTATAATATGGCCTTATGGAGTAATTAGTTACACTACACTATGCTTTGCTTGTGCAGTAGTGAAGCCCTGGTTATAAACATGCTACTTTCTTTCTTTCTTTCTTTCTTTCTTTCTTTCTTTCTTTCTTTCTTTCTTTCTTTCTTTCTTTCTTTCTTTCTTTCTCTTTCTTTCTTTCTTTCTTTCTTTCTTTCTTTCTTTCTTTCTTTCTTTCTTTCTCTTTTGATTAGAAAAAAATTCCCCATTGGAGTCAATAGAAGGAAACTTTCTGGTCCAGTTTCAGAACCGGTGTAAAGTTGTGTGTTTGATGTGGCGGTGTATTGAACTAAAGAGACCATATTTGATGGTGGCATTGTTCCCTGTCCTAGTTTATCTAAACTGTTCTAGCAGCTTGATAATCAGATTTGAGACTGGTTGCTTTTCACATAGTAATTTCCTCCCTTAAAGAACAATCAATTAACAGGCATCTTTACCAGTAAAATTCCACCCGCTGTCAACATTATTAAGTAACACTATTGAGTATTTATTAGGTACAGATGATGTCTTATACACTCATCGTCAAAAGATAAGTGGAAGTGTGTCCCATTGAAACCAGCAGGACCTACTTCAAAGAAATGGGAAGGTCAGGGTGCCAGAAGTGTGTCAAGCAGTTTGAAATAAAATATATAAGTACAAAAGAAAGCGCTTAATATAATTACACAAAGAATGTGAATAATTTGACCCCAAGGATACAAATGACGTGGCAAAATACTATTATTCACACAAGTAACACTGAAATGATTGTTCTGTGCTTGGTTATGCACATGTGGGACCTTGTGCAGTAGTTACAACAATCCATACGAGCAAATTGGGACAAGATGCAACTCTGTACACACTTGTTCATCCAGTTTGATTGCCAACACAAGGCTTTGATCTTTCCGCCTTCTTTTCAGTTAGGATCAGAATCCTGCTTACATAATGTCTGCATAACTTGCCAAGGCTGACTGATGGAAGAGCTGGGGCCTATCTTGGTTGCCTGGTCATGTGCCTTACGTGCACAGCTGAGATATGTCCTGGCCTCTCATCAGTGTGCTGGAGCTACCCACAAGAAAGTGTGCAAGACGTACACCAATAAGATCCCAATCCTTATCTTCTCTGTTCTTTACGTGTATGCATTTCTTGTTCTATATTTCTGTCCTCAGTAAAGACATCGAGAAGAGTGATCACATCCAGGGATGCTTCTATTTGCTTTCCATTAAGAAACAACCAGTAGCATCTTGCAACGTGGTCACCCTTTATTGTATCTTTCACGATAACAGGCCCATGCATAAGAAGCCAATTTCACGAAGCTGAAAAGGGTTTCTTCACAAGCATGTTTCCATAGAATTTCTGCTTTGTCACTCCAGTTTGCTTCTCTGTGTCTTTGAACTGGCCTTTCTTCCATTAAAGAACAGTTAATAAACAATAGGCAACTTTGCCAGTCAATTTCCACCAGCTGTCAACATTATTACCACAGCTCTTGACTATTCCCCAACCTTCCTTTCCTTCCTAAGGGTATAGGTGGACCAAAGAAAGCCCTCCACAGGTTACTGAACTGCAGCTCCTGGCACTTCTCACCACTGGCTAATTATTCTGGCTAATAAGGCTGGTGGGAACAGCAGTTCAACAAAACCTGGAGGGCTGGGCTCATTTTGGCCTTGTCTTAGAGAGCAGCATGTGGAAAGATGAAAGGAGCAGACTGTGATGCCCTTAAAAGAAAGAAAATGTTTCTGTTTTTAAAAAAGGAACAGCGACCAGGAGTGGTAGGCATTGCTGTCTGTTTTCCTCACGGTCTCCAGATTTTGGTACTCTCTAAATTCTGGGTAGCTGGCTGGAGAGCTAGTTCAGTGAGTTAGGTCCCTGGCTGTGGAGCCAGAGTTTGGGAGCTCGATTCCTCGCTGTGCCACCTACGAATCAAACCAGCCTGTGTGGGCTTAGCCAAGTGACAAGGTCCCAGGGTGCCCCCAGAAGAAGGGAAGGGTAAAGAACTTCTGAGACTTCTCTACCTGGAAAACCCTGAAAAGGGTTGCCATCAACCAGAATTGACAGCACATGATTAGATGAGAAATTTGGGGTGCCATGGAGGAAAGTCCCACTTGTCCTACCACATTCTTGACCTGGTTTTCCGTACTGGGCAGGATAATGATGATTTGGGTGTGGAGAAACTCTCAGTAGTTCTGTTGTCACAACCAGATCACCACCTGGTAGGTCTTAGAAGACACAGGGAAATCTAAGGAAAGTACAATATATGTATACTTGTTGGTATGTACAATCAAGTGGGAATCAAGTTATAGTGACCCGAATACGGCTTTCAAACTGATATATTTAATGGTTTTACCAGTCCCCCCTCCCCCCCGTGAGCTTCTGTGGCCGAGTAGGGATTCAAATCCAGCCGTTCTGAGTCCTAATTCCTCACTCTATCTACTACACCACACTGGGTATCCCACTTCACTGATACTCATCCTCTTAGTCCAAGAAATTCTTAGCATCCTGTAATAAATTAACATTGCAAACAATTCTGTCCTTTTAAATACAGTAGTTAAAAGGCCACGACTGTGCTCCATACAGTAGATCAATGAATACACTGCACTATACAAAGCCCATGATCAAAACCAGTTGTAGGCATGTATTCCTGCTTTCTTCCTCTCAAGGAAACTTATCTTCTTTTGGTGTCTGTAAAAAACCTGATTGACTTTTCGCAGAATAAACTCTGTATCTTCAGGAAGCTGCTTCCATACTCCTCTGTTCTTTCAATTTATGGCTGTGAGCCTACTGTTTATTTAACCTGATTGCAAGGTACCAACCAATATTTGCACACTTTAATTTTGGATCTTTAACTTAATTTCTTGAGATACTTACTCAATTATTACTGATTATGAACCAAGACCCATCTTTTGACCTTGTTCATACTTATGTCACTGAATTTATTGAGCAACATTTGTACATTGAAGTTATTAATCTAACCGTGATTTACTGTTTTCCCTATGAGCTGTCAAGTTGCCTCGGAGTTAGCTCAGTCCTAAGAATGAGCTGTCTGGAACAGGTCCTCTCTTCAGCTGCCCTGCCCAGGCTCAAGCTTGTGGTTTCCTTTAGGGAGCAAGTCCATCTGGTGTTTGGTCTTCCTCTTTTCCTGCTGCCTTCCACCTTTCCCAGCATTTTTTCAGAGAATCTTGCTTTTTCATGAACTGCCCAAAGTAGGACAGCCTCAATTTCATCATTTTTGTCTACAGAGATAGTTCAGGCCTGATTTGATCTAGGAGCCACTTGTTTGTTTTCCTGGCAGTGCAGGTTATCCGCAAAGTCCTCCTCCAGCATCACATTTCAAACGAACCATTCCCCCCGCCCCGCGATTACTCCATGCCATATGGCACTAGCAGACTCACAGAAATCTTTCTACTGTATTAGGTATAAAACCAGAAAACGTTGATAAGCAAAACGTATATTTAATACTGCATATTTTAAGAGCCGCAAGGATGATTATATTTGCACAGTACTGGAAGAATTAAGAAGCACCTCCAGATAAAGAAATAATCAAAAAGATACTCGACTGCGCAAAAATGGACAATTTTCCCAATCCTTTTTCAACCATCTGTGCCTTTCATCCTACCAACAAATCAGTACTCTCTCCTTGCGCATGCGGAGTACAGCACCTCTCTCTCCTTCCCCGCCTTCCAAGATAGGGACTTAACTCCGGCTTGACAGAACCCCGCCGTCCCAGCAGTAGAGGATTCTGATTGGTCCGTCTCCCGGTCGGCCCCACCACCAATGAGAATGCCCGACGCGCACCCCCGCCTCTTTACAACGCCCTGGCGTCGAGGATCGCGGATAGCCGGGCTGGTTCCGTGTCAGCGCGAGCGCCGGCGACATGGCGGTCGTGGGGGCCGTTCTGCGCAGGGCGGCGGTCTCGAGACCTCGGCTGCGCTTCGCCGGGGGAGCTCCGCCCCGCAGGCACGCGGCGCATTTCACGTTCCAGGCGGACCCGGAGCCCACCCAGTATGGTGAGCGCGCGCCGCGGCCCATCATCTTCTTCTCCTCGCTCGCGGGTTGCGCGCGGCCGTCCCGAGAAGGAAGGGGACGAGAGGCGCGGCGGCCGCCGCCGCCTGGCCACCGGCTCCTCTCGTCGGTCCCTGCAGTCCAAGGAGTAACAAGCACATGTTTAGGCAGTTTGGAAGCCACCCTCTCCTCTCGACACACACACACACACACACACACACACACACACACACACACACACAAGAAGGCATCCAAAACGGCAGTCCCCCCCCCCCTCTCCTGCCCCTCACACCGTCTGAAATGGTGTGGCCTGCTTTTATGATTATAGGAACACATAACGCACCTGCACGTGTAGACTTGGGTCCGGTTTGCCCTCAGGTGTGGAGAAGGTCAGCTGTGGTTGCCCTGGAGCCTTGCCCCCCCCCACTCTTGGGCTGAGCCCCTGAGGCCAGCGGAACCTCCTCCCACTTTCTAGCAGCGCTGCTGGAAGGCATGCAGTCCCTCGAATTCGTTATTGCTGGGGAGAAGTGGGAAGGTTCACAGTTTCCCCTCCAAACTGGATTTGGGGCCCTGTGGGTTGAAAATGTTTGGTAAAAAGGGAATAAAAGTACAGTATGTCAGGCTTACTGTATTTTCTTGGCACTTGCTTCTCCTTTGAAATTCAGATTCCCCTCTGTCAGACTGTTGTAGTACAAGGGGCAAAGAGGACAAAAGGACAATAATACTGTATTCTGAAGTTATCTGTGTGAAAGAGGGAATGTGGGTAGATGGAGCTTGTTGAGCGCAGGCAAATGTAACAGGCCTTCTGAAATTCTTTCCCTGGCATCCATAGTCAGAGGCAGAAGGTCATTATGAGGAGTCCCTGTAATCTGTCACTTTGGAGTAACTCTGTCTTTAAGGTAAGACCTTGAATGCTTCATTACTACAGTAAGTCTTTTTCTGGCCCTTATTGGTCTGGTATGAAAAGGCATTATTGGAAATCTAACACGCACATTTGTAGGAGGGAGAGACAAAAAAAAAAGGATGCTCAATGAAACATTCCTAGCAGACACACATATATCCATGATGTATGCTTGATGTTTGCCGCTCTTGAAGCTCTGTAATGGCATCCATTTGCTTGCATAAATGAATTCAGGAGTTTTTTAAAAGTTTCTACAATACGTACATATACTTATACTATATGTAAATTGCATATTCATAGAGATATGACCTGTGATGTTTCAAAGTTTGCCCTTGATGGTGCTTTAATAGTTGCTTCAGTGAGGCTCTAGATGTATAATTTTTAAAATAAAACTATTAGTATGTAAGATCACCAGGTAGAAAGAAAAACAGGTTCTGTACAATATGCTGCATCTTCTAGTTAGTCTATTTGCTTAAATGCTTTAGGTTCCAGTCCGATATACACCATGTACTGAGAAGTAAGCCCCATTAAACTCAGTGGGCTTACTTTTTTTAAGTAGACATGCATACAGTTTTGTTGTTAATCATAATTTTGCTTATACTATACAGATGGTAGTAGAACTGGAGGTGAAGCTGGATGAATGTTGATATGTACTGCAACACAGCCATAGATGTGCTTAGATAAAGGCAAATATAACATTGTACTTTTATAAGAGCTTCAGAAGGATCTGATACATCTGTACTGCTCTCTCTGTAAGGTAGTGGATGTAGGTTCTGCTCTCTTGCTCCCAAAGAAGAAATTGTTCAGATATGTGACATTACTGAAGCACAGAACTGCTGGATAGCTCAGTGACTTAGATCTCTGGCTGTGGAGCCAGAGCTTGGGAGTTCAGTTCCCCACTGTGACCCCTTGACTTGACCTGGACTGGATGATCTGTAGTCCGTAGTGGTTGAGTCCACCCAAGTCCTTCAATGGAAGGAAGAGCTCTTTTCATCCATGGGAAGCTTGCTTTTGCTCCTGCAGAACTTTTCTGCTGTCTGAATAGAGAATAAGGTAAACCTTTGTAATTCCCATCTTCCGCTACATTCCTCCGTATCCCGCAAGACTCTTCTTTCTGTTGATGGGGAATTCCAGAATAGCAGATGGAGTGATGGTTGCAAAGGGAAAGGTTGATACTGTACATGATAATCTACTTCCTCCCCTTATATCACAGGGAGCATTTTGAAAGTGATTCTCCCATTAAATAATATCTCTGAATTTATCTCAGAATTGAATGTACAGACAGTGCTGGTCTAGCTGGCAGAATAGCTCTGAGAATTAATTATCTGGAAATTAATTCCTGACTATCCTGCCTAAGAAAAAGAGCCAACCCGTGTAACCTTGGGCAGGCAGAAACTCCCAGAATAGCCCTCGAAGAAGGGAATGGTAAACAGAGAATGGTAAACCTCTGAGTATTCTAAAGTTCTGAGTATTCTATGCCTAGGAAATCTTGGAAAACATCGACGTAGGTCAGAATTGACTTGACAGCCCATCGTTTTTATTATTAGAGCTGATCTGCAACTTTTGTAGATCTGTAGTTCTGTCTTGAAGATGGTGGCATTATTTTATAGCAGTTTGACAACTGTGCTTCAGTTTTCAATTTGGAATGGCTGCTTAGTTACAGCACCATTAATCTTGTTTTGAAGCTGATGTTAAAATGGTTTGTTGATTTCATTTTGTTACTGTTGTTGTTGTTTTGAAATTTATGCGCAAATATTGCGACCCTGACTGTATAGGAATATTCACTTGAAATAGTATACTTACCTATGTCATGCTGAGAATTGTTGGTTTAGAGATAGTTAAAGATTTGTACCATGCTGTCCTTAACCAGTATTTTGGTGTTTGGTGTTTAGCAGTTTTTAAAATTCAGTTAAACCATTTGCCTTTTTGAAATAATCTCTCCACAGGGCCAACACAGAAAATGAACCTTTTCCAGTCTATCACAAGTGCCTTGGATAATGCCTTATCCAGAGATCCTACTGCAGGTATAATATTTATACTGTGGTATTTATGAGATTTGCTAGAAGCCTGTTTAGTTCATCTCTTCAGTGTGCAGACTCCTGATCTTTTCCCCCCTCATAGAACTGTTAGAGGTGTAAACCACCTGCTTGATTGGAGTAATCTGCAGTTGGAGGTTGGGCAATAGGTGTGTGAAAGACAGTGATTTCAGCAATCCAAAACACAATTTCTGCTTGTAAAGGACAAAATGTTCCTGATTCAGATATGAAGAATTATGAATGTGGTTTCCCTTTTATCCAGCACAGAAGTAGCTGTGCTAGAGGAAATCAAAGGCCTGTCTATCTACCATTCTATTCTCAGAATAGCTGTTCAGATATATGTAACAAGGAAGGGCCAAATGATTCCTCCAGACTGGATGTTTTTGTGTGGCAATTTGAAGGGAAAGATAAGAAGTTGAAATTAATGTTGATTTTGCAGTAGAACAAGACTTCAGACTGTGCCCCCCCCCCACTTTTCCTCCCCTTTGCTCCTAGAACTTGATGCTGAGTGCAGACATTTGGCCACTTCTGTTTTACTTTTGCAGTTTGAATCCTTTCCCCCCAGTTCAGAAGCTTTTCCAGCTGTCACTTTGTTATACATATCATGAGTAAGCTGGTATCAAATTCTTTCTCCTGGTAGTTACATTAAATAGCTGACCATAGATAGTTCACCTAAACTACACGCTGTTTAGGTGAACTTAATCATAGTCCAGATCACACACTTAACCAGAGGTTGCATTGAAACACTGTGCTATAGGAGTTGCCTCAAATCACCTGCTCCATTACACAGCTTCTTTTGAAAGGTGAGTCTCTGTGTCTATTTGGAAAGGCTGGAGATTCTACTCTTAACTGCTCCTTTTCAGGAAAAGTGGTTCCATCTTTTATATATTCATATGTAAAGGACACGTTGTACATTACAGGCTGAGTGTGCTGTCAAAAGGTAGAGCTCATGCCAGTCTCTGTCATTGTTGTTACTGAATTATAGAAATTTGTGGCACTGTTAATCTACAGTTTTTCAGATCTGTAGATTACAGTAGGCTTCTTAAACATTTTTTTTGCTTTAATAAATCCACAAAGCAATATTTGGAGACAGAAAGTGAAAAACTACTTTTAATGGCAAGAATTAGTGGCATTGTTTCATGGGGAAATTTGCATGTTGAATTTAAAGTTTCTTTTAATTGTTACTCTTTATTGATCAACCGCTTTTGCATTCTGGATAATCCGTTATTCATTGTATATTTGCAGTAATATTTGGGGAAGATGTATCCTTTGGTGGTGTCTTCAGGTGCACTGTTGGCTTGAGAGACAAATATGGTGAGCTTGCATCTTGTGTGATACCTAGTCTTGGATGGCTATTTGTTTTTCTAATTGTATCAAAATACAGAAAAAAATCTATATACAAATTCAACTTGAGAGCTTTTGTTTCTGTCTAGCAGAGTGGTAAGAACATTCAGTGTTAGCAGCTGACCTTAAAAAAAACTGTTTTCTATTCTCATAACTGTGTTTTTATTTGCTATCAATGCAACTATATTATAAAGCAGAAAACTATCCAAACAAATTGGAGATTTTAGATGCCTAGAGATAATACCTTGCAGGTTAATGTATTTAGGGCTTAAGAAGAATAACTACACAAGTCCTGTGGAAGCACAGGAAAAGAAAACTTCTGTATCTTTCTCCTACTTGGTTTTCTTAGTATGCTAGTGTGCAGTCATCAATCATTCTCACTCTGTAATACTGAATTCAAATGGTGAATGGAGATGGAGCGACAGCACCAAGAAACAAGAGGAAGATATTTGTAGGGCAAACTATAAATGCTGCAGTCAATGACATGTTTTGTAATGCAGCATTAGCAAGCAATGACCAGCATAGCCTATTGTAAAACACGGTTTTGCAAACTATTATTTCTTTTTCTTTCTGTAATCTAGTTTGCGGACTATAATGCTCTTGTCCAGGTATTTTAAGTGTACTTCTGTTACTGAGCATGCCTGTTGTAAGTATTGTCTGAAAAAAAGGGTATGTTCTTTAGTTTTTCCACAAATGCATTGAACTCTAATTTTACATGTCAACTTCTATATGATGAGTTGCAGTCAGACTAGTGTTATTCAAAATAAATGTATTAACAGTCATGGAATAAATTAAATATAACTATCGTGAGTTCCTATGATCTTTGTGAGCCTACTCCAGATATGGATCCTGCCCAACATAGTTTGGGTTTTTAAATGAGTAAACTAAGTTTGGGTTTAATAAATGAATTGCAGTAGCATAGAGTTTTCCCCAGTTGCTCATTATTCCTCAGAAAAGGCATTTTCTGGCTTCAGAATTTAAAAAGGTTTTTGTTATTTTTATTTTATTTATTTATTTATTCGATTTTTACCCCCGCCCCTCTAGACAACGTCTACTCGGGGCGGCTATTGACTCCCAACACTTCTAATTTTGAAGTAATTAATAAAATAATTATCCTTAATGTCTCTCTAACTGTGAAATAAGTAATACAATAATTGTTATATCACAGAATCTGTGTTTTATTGGATACCACGGCCAAAATCTTCTTAAAGAAGGATGCGGGATATTTTCTGACAGGGGATATTTTGTGTAGCAAAGAATTCTTCCTTCTTCTCTGCCCCTCCACTACTATGCAGTGAAATTGTTAGACATTCTGTAGGATAGAAAAAGTTTTTACTTGCCAAAAATCACCCACTAATGGTGACGTTATTACCCTTCTACAGACATAAATCAACAAGATTTGGGCATATGTATCCAGATATATCTTTTATGTTGTTATCTGCAAAAGTATGCACATTTATTTTTGCATGATATTTTATGAAAATCTCTTCTTTTTTCAGGTAAAGATAGAGTGTTCAATACCCCCTTATGTGAACAAGGAATTGTAGGATTTGGCATCGGAATTGCTGTCACTGGAGCGACTGCCATTGCAGAAATCCAGTTTGCGGACTATATTTTTCCTGCCTTTGATCAGGTTAGTTCAAACTTTGGAACACTGAGCACAAGGGGGGAAATTAATCATTATGAATCTGTTTCCCATCATAGCAATGATAATGGTTAGAGATTAGATTCAACATGATCACAGATGAAGCAGCTTCTTAAATATATTTGCGCTAGGGTAGAATTGCTAAAACATTGGTGACTTCTTGGATATTGTGAGAAGCACCAAAGGTTTATGAATGCTCTGGTTTTTGCTGCTGCTCCCTGTCACATACCAAATGGGGATTCATGTCACTCATGTACAGATGCTTCCACCTCAGCAGAGGTCTCTCCAGGTAGATGTGTGATTTTCATTTTATGAGTGACAAAACATGTTGGAAACTAAAGGTGTGAAAGTATTTGTAAGATCCTTTACATCTAATAATGTGTCAGTATCCTCTGTGAAAAGAGAGCAAAGTGGGACATCAGCCGAAAGTTCTTTTTCTGTAATACTTGGGTTCAGCTTGAGACTTCAGTGGTTGCATACTTAACAAAATGTGTTGTATGAGTAAAATGATAGATATCATTTGAAACTCCAAGATAATTTTAAATTTCCCTCTATGTAGGAGATGTATCAGGAAATTGTGTTATGGTGTCTTTAGGTGGCTCGAATAAATGATTTCAAGACTAAGGAGATCAGTATCACCATGTCTTAGTATTTGGGTGAAGTTTCAAGTTGCCAAAGGGAAATGCAGTCTGATGTGATGGAAGTTCCCTTCCCTTCTCCTCTGCAGACACCTTTATTCCTTAAAAAGCTTTCCCAGGTGATATTTGGGGGCGGGGCGCTGTTCAACATGGTGAGTTCTCTCATACAGACCTTCAGTGGGAGAAAATGGTTGTCAAAATTAGCATTTTGTACAAGTGGTGCGAGATTCCTCTGCTTGGTTTCAGGGAATTCATCCATCCTTTACCAGTCCTGTTAGATTCCATGTGCCATGTCTGAGAGATTCCTGATTCTCTGAAGAAGCTTTTTAAGGTAGAGGAGAAAAGAAAGATCCGCTGTGTAAAGTGCCTTCTAACTTGTGGAGTATTGTGTTATCAACTATGGTTTTAGATTTGGGCTGTGTTGTTTCTGTTTAATATTGTTTAGTTGAGCATCAATTATTCTAAAATGTAATGTGTGTAGAGAGATGTACAGGCACTATTAAATATAAATGTATGCATATTTTCCCCTTCAGATTGTTAATGAGGCAGCAAAATATCGGTATCGTTCTGGAGATCTATTTAACTGTGGAAGCCTGACAATAAGAGCCCCTTGGGGTTGTGTGGGTCATGGTGCATTGTACCATTCCCAGTCACCAGAAGCCTTTTTTGCACACTGTCCCGGACTGAAGGTATAGTAAATAGGTAGATAAATTTTATCGTAACTGATGTGCATTTATACTTATGGTGTCTGTTTTCCATGGAATTTGATCTGTGGCTTAAAGGATTTTTGCATTTGGATCTGGTGGTGTACATGGACTGTCTGAGGGTTTGTCTACACGGCCGGATTGGAGTGGGCTAAATAGGATTGCTAGGAGGCTTGGTATGGTGTTTGGTGCAATCCATTCGGTGCGATCCTCAAGCCACTCTTAGTTGACCACATCAACCTGTGGTCAATTTGCCAATAGTGTGAAGTGTCTCAAGAAGAAAACCACTTCATGATATTGGTAAATTAAATAATTCCTTGGCTCCATAGAGCAGCTAAGGAAATGGAAAACATTTTTAAAGTGTGTGTTAGAGCAGAAAACAAGTGCTTTAAAAATAGCATGAGGTATGTATGTTTACAAATTGTGTGTATTAGATTTGTGTATGAGGTATTCCTATCTAATACACACATACTCAATGCTGTTTTTAAGTGATGCAGCGTTTATTTGCTGCTCTAATACAAAGTTTAATTTTTTTCATTTCCTTGGCCCCATCGCAGACCTGAGGAAGTATTTAATTTGCCAATAGCATGAAATGCTCTTTATGATATTGGCAGATTAAAAGAAGAAAGGTTGCTTTGGTTTGTTTCCATCTTGTTTTTGCAAGAAATGGACCAAAGCAGAGCAATCGTTGTTGTTGTTGTTTAGTCATTAAGTCATGTCCGACTCTTCGTGACCCCATGGACCAGAGCACGCCAGGCCCTTCTGTCTTCCACTGCCTCCCGGAGTTTGGTTAAATTCATGTTGTTAGCTTTGATGACACTGCCCAACCATCTCATTCTCTGTTGTCCCCTTTTCCTCTTGCCTTCACACTTTCCTAACATCAGGGTCGTTTCCAGGGAGTCTTCTCTTCTCATGAGATGGCCACAGTATTGGAGTCTCAGCTTCAGGATCTGTCCTTCCAGTGAGCACTCAGGGTTGATTTCCTTCAGAATGGATAGGTTTGATCTCCTTGCAGTCCAGGGGACTCTCAAGAGTCTCCTCCAGCACCACAGTTCAAAAGCATCAAATTTTCGACAGTCAGCCTTCTGTATGGTCCAACTCTCACTTCCATACATCACTACTGGAAAAACCATAGCTTTGACTATGTGGCTCTGGAGGCTGCCTGGGCTTGCCTCGCAAAGCTTGCTCCTCTATCATGGTGGGGGTAGCTGCTGCTGCTGAGTGCGCCTTTTTTTGAGCGGGGGCTCAGAGGAAGGTTGCCGGACCTCTGTGTGTTTGTGTGCATGCATGTGCGTGCGCACCTGTGGAGGCCCCGCCTTTCTGTTTAATTTCACGGGTACCGGTGGGTGCTTTTCTCCTTCGGCAAGGAGAATTCTGTGAAGGTTTTTTAATTTTATTTTATGTCATGCCCTCCTCCCCCCCGGCTAGGCGGTCGCAGGTGCTCCCTCCCTTCTCCGCTTCTTCATCCTGCTGCTGCTGCTGCTGGTGGTGGTGAAGAAGGAACTGGAGGGGGTAGTGGCCTGCGACGAGGGCTCGCGCACCCCTCCTCCTCCTCGGAGCCCCAGCTGGGCTAAGGAAACTCCTGGGTGGCTTCCTCGGGCTCTTGGTCCGCTTGGCGGAAAATCTGATGCGACCCAGCCTCACCCAGACTCTGCCTCCAGCGGCCCCCAGATAAATTGAGTTTGAGACCCCTGATCTAAGGAGCTTATTCAGACCAGGGGAAAGTGAAACCAACGTGGAGGATATATCAGGGATCTCCTACTAACTCTCCTCAGACTGAAGAAGCTACTTGGATGAGTAGCGAAATGTTTCAACCTAAGAACAAAGAAGTCCAGTTACAATGACTCAACTTTCAGATAACCTCACCTAGATCAGTGGTTCTTAACCTTTTTGAAAGAAACGCCCCCTTGAGCCATTGAGGACGTTATCATCGCCCCCCTCCCCGCGGCGATGATATCTTATTTATTTATTTATTTATTTATTTATTTATTTATTTAATTAATTAATTAATTAATTAATTAATTAATTAATTAATTAATTAATTAATTAATTAATTAATTAATTAATTAATTAATTAATTAATTAATTAATTAATTAATTAATTAATTAATTAATTAATTAATTAATTAATTAATTAATTAATTATCGCCCCGCCCACGTTAAGAACCACTGACCTAGATGACTAAGAATCTTCACAGATACCATGGAGTCATATTCAGTGCTGCAACTGATAAATGTTATCACAAACCAATTGTAGCGTTCACCAATCTACATGGATCTGGCAGAATTATGGCAATACAATATGCTCTCAGTCTAGAATTGTTAATTTTGAATAAGGTCCATAAACCAGTTATTCACGTTAAGAACCACTGACCTAGATGACTAAGAATCTTCACAGATACCATGGAGTCATATTCAGTGCTGCAACTGATAAATGTTATCACAAACCAATTGTAGCGTTCACCAATCTACATGGATCTGGCAGAATTATGGCAATACAATATGCTCTCAGTCTAGAATTGTTAATTTTGAATAAGGTCCATAAACCAGTTATTAATAAATCTCCATGTCACAAAGATCACTGGCAGCTTGTCTCCAAATATCAGGAACAAGCAGTATAGAATATCTGGAAACATGATATATGCAGTTGTAGAAGGGGTAGCCGTGTTAGTCTGTGCAAGCATTGCAGAATAGAAATAATAAGTAAAAATTAAAATTAAAAAATGAAAAAAATGTGGTGGCACTTTAAAGACTGATGAACTGGATTTGTCCACAAAAGCTCGTATTAAAAAAAGAAAAAAGTTAGTATTTAAGGTGCCACCACTTTTTTTTTGTCTTTTTAAAACTTTTTATTTAAATTTTGCTTTTATCTATAATTGATGTAGAGTACTGTGAAGTACAGCCAGACCTGTCTAAAATATATTTAGTTTTGAGAATTTATGTAACTTAATGATAAGGTAATGTTTGAGTGCTTTGATTCTGAGGAGCTGTTTAGTCACAGTTGAGGAGAATGGTTTTATCCTCAGAATTTTGCCCTGTAGTTTTGTCCACTGCCACAGCAAGCCATGTGTTAGTTTAAAAGCAGTTTAGGTCCAGGAATTATTAGTTTTCTGTGGAGAAAACTGCAGAGATTTCAGCTGATTTTCTAGTGGATTTTCATATACAGTGGTGCCTTGCAAGACGATTGCCTCGGTGGATGAAAAACCCGCAAGACGATTGTTTTTAGTGATCCCTATGGTGCCTCGCAAGACGGTTTTTTCTATGACTCTGCTTCACAAGATTCCCCCCCCCCCGAGCTCAATGCTTCGCAAGATGAATAAATTTCATTTGTCTTGCAAGGTTCCCATAGGGAACCTTGCAAAACAATTTTTTCGCAATACAGCGATTTTCGCGGAATGAATTAAAATTGTCTTGCGATGCACCACTGTATCTACAAATTATTGTACAGTGTCATTAGTTTATCCAGGAGTGTGATTTCCTTAATTTTTTTCTTAAGCCCATACCTTCTGGACTGCTAATAATGGCATAATCTTAACTGTTATGTTCTGTGTTTGCTTCATTCATTCATTCTTGCTTTCTTTCATTCATTCATCTATCCATCCATCCCTTCATTCAATTTTCTTTTCTTTAAGATTGTTGTTCCAAGAGGTCCTGTTGAAGCCAAAGGACTGTTGCTATCATGCATAGAAGATAAAAATCCCTGCATCTTCTTTGAACCTAAAATACTTTATAGAGCAGCAGGTAAAATATTATTTTTGCTATGCACAGCCTAAAAATAAAGAAGTGTGATCTGTATTTGCATATGAGATATTATGCTATATTTCGGTAGGCATATTCATGTCAAAAAGTTATCTGATATTAGTATGAATGCAAACATAGTTGGATGGTCAGATTGTGGTGTGATGTTACATCTTTTCGGAATGAAGAAGGAATGTTCTATGCCCACTGATATTTCACTGTCCTACTTTAGAAGTTACAATGCTGGCTAAAGAACCTGGCCAAGGAAACTAGCCATTGAGGTTGAGGAGCTTTATACATCCAGTAAATGCAACTTCAAATCTAACATTGTTATGCCTGCCTTTAAGTGTGTATAAGAGTATTCATAAATTGTGACATTGGCCAAAATTCTGTTGGTGTAAAGTTACACGGCAGAGCCAGTTGATATCATTATCCAGTGCTGGTAATATTTCATTTAAATGGATGGAAAACTTTCTCTATGAATACTCGCCTTTCAAATAATAATGTTGAAAGCAAACAGTGCATTCAACCCAAATATTTAATGTTGACTTTTCACAAAGTATACTATTATGAGCAAAACAAACACATTTTAACAGCAAGAAAGTAGAAACCTTTTATTTTTGAAGATGAAAGGGTTTGTTGATGGGGACAAAATACAAAGGTAGCTTCAATGCACACTCAGAATTTGCAGTTAGTTCCCACTTGTGAGATTTTGGGGAGTGTGTGAAGACATCTTTTCACGTGGAACTTTTAAACTATTTTAATGCTTATCATGGTGATTTTTATTGACTCTGTAGTTTAATTTGTTTTTTTTTAGTTTGTGCTCAATTTTTTAGTGGAACAGTGAGCTAAGAATGTAATAAATAGGTAATCCTTATCAATTTGGGCACTTCCTACGAAATCTGTGAATCTTTAAATTTAGAATGCTGCTACATGGTATTATTCAAATTGCTTTTAAGAAAACATTTAAAATAAAGGTGTTTGTTTATTTTTAAAATGTAGTCTTGCACACTGACCAGAGTACATACACAGGATCAAAAGCATGCAGTGCTAATTCAATGGAAAATATTAGTCATCTTGGCATTATCTTGGTTGCCTTGTAGAGAGAATCTGCTTATGACCTTTTCAGATTCATTTAATTCTACCATGTATGACATTAGTGGTGTAGAAATAAATGACTTGCATCAACAGTTGTTATAGTGACATGGCAGGTAAGATGGAAAAAACTAGTTGTTTTTAGTCATTGTTCAAAATGTTCTGTCATACAGGTGTTGAGATGTTTTCCTATTTGCAAGTAGTGGGAAATAAAGTTAAATGTTTTGTGAGCCACCCCCGCCGCCCCTTCCATGATGCAAGGGGTGAGTCTTTGCAGATTAAAGGGCTTCATTAACAGAGGGAAGGGGAGAAAACAACTTGCACAAAATCTCTTGCACAGAATTGGGTCCAGCTTGACCCTGAACAGAAATAGGAAATAGACCCAGGTCCTGACAGCCAGTGGGTACATAGTTCTTTGCAGACCCATGACCTTGTGGACTGCTAATTGAAAAAGTCCTTAACAAGACTGGGCCCCTCCTGGCCAAGTGCAACACAGTCCTTGTCAGACCCAGGCTCTGCCACAGTGGAGATGGAAGAAGTCCTTGTAGACTCAGGCCCCTCTGGGCAGGGAGCAGACAAGTCCAGAACCAGGTCTAGCTCCTACAGTAAGCCACAGACCCTAGTCCAACAAGTCAACACAATTTTATGGGCACCAGTAAGTTGCTTCACTCCCAGAGTTCCTAAATCCAGCTTGCTCAGTACTACGTCTCTTAAGGAAAATCTTAAGGAAAACCGCCAGGAACTGCAGGTAGGAGGTACCCTGCCCTTCCGAGGCCACACACACCTAATCCTTCATCCCGGACAGGAGAAATGTTTGTACATACACCCCCTCCTGGGCAGCATGACTGGAGACCATGAAAAAACTGCTTTGTGAGATGGCTGGGTAGATGGCGTTGAGGCAGCGATCAGGCTGAGCGTGGCATCTGGAGAACCAGGGCTCAATATGGGAGCACAGGGGACCAGCTGCTTACCTGTTTTGTCCCCAGCAGCACCTGGCATCTTTCTAGACACCTCACCCCGTCTCATCTTACCCTGGCAGCTTCTTCAGGTGTTGCTGCCAGCCCTCTTTGCAGTGGCTCGGCATAGACTTCTCCTTGCTTGTGTACAGCCCAGTCTTCCATGTTTTTCCAGTGATCCTCCTCCCACTCTGAGTCTTCCGGTCTGCCTTTTGTCCCCAACCCAGCCATCTCCACAGCAGTGCCTCCCAGGCCAGCAGTGGCTTTCTCCTCAGCCTCACCCCAGGGCCCAGCGGTAGCAGTGGAGAAAGTGTGCGCACAGTGTCTGACGAGGTGGTCTGCCTGTTACCTCACAGTTCTGCAAAATGTATGAATTAGCTAAACACCCATGTAGTCAGTCTCTTACTGCAGTTAGCAACAAGATTCTAGCCTTTCTATAAATATTTTAGATATAGTACATTGTTTTCAGTGAAGATGTTCAAGACTTTTGCTAGTGGATAGGATTATGTGCAGTACTGTACATATAATATTGAAATTCTGTGCCTGTGAAAATGAAGTTGCACAGTGGTATAAATGTGGACAGTTGGGTAAATCTGTGTAATTCTTTCATTGAACATTGCGCTGATTTATGCTGTATGCTCAATGCAGAAAGTGGAAACCTAACTTTGATTAACATGAATCTGATGACTTGCTGGAGCCCTCCATTTTTGAGCAGTGGTAGGATATTGCACAGCAAGGGCAGGTTTCTTTAACAGCTTCATCTGGTACAAGCCTCTTTCTCTAAGGAAACCTTTGTTATCTCTCTCAACCATGGTGTTAGCCCCAGACTGGATTAGCCAGGAAGAATAAGGATTGAGAGTAAGTAAGTGGTAGCCTTCACCATTCCAAACACAGTCCACATCCTCGAGATCTGTAGGCTGAAGTGAATACCCGCTAACAAATGACTGTCCAAGTCACATCAGCCTGACCTCCTCCAGTGTTGGGGTCTAAATCAAGGTGAATGTGGCAGGCTATGTCTGCAAAAATTGCTCACACTGAGCGGCCAGCTGCTTTGGCAAATATATGCCTTGTGTGGGTTGGAAAATCACTGCTAGTCTCTGTGTGGATGTGATGGTAGTTGAGACGTGAAATTTCTTAGCTGCGTTTGGTGCTAAGAAAGTTCGTGTCAGATGGCGTTTAGTCCATTTGTGGACTGATTTGTCCATGAGTTTTCCTTCAGTGATGCTCTAGTTGCTGTTGCTTCTCTTTCCTTGCCCTCAGCTGCTTGCTACCCTAGATGCAGGTGCAGCTAATTTACAGCAGGTTTATGTCCTATGTATGTGTGACTGCAGTGTCAGAGTTGCTGCCAAATAATAAGATTTTGAAACAACAGCGTGTAGACAGGGCCTCACTGTTCACTGTGCAAAATGTTCCTTTTCCATAACACCTGCCTCTTGCAGCATTAATGTAGGTATACCAGGGGAAACTGGCAATTACTTTCAGAAAATTTTACTATATTGCAGTGTATAGGTTACTAGAATGACAAAAATGGCACGTGCAAACTATAAATTGGAAATGCCTGGTCTGAAATAATTACTTCAGTAGAGTTGTGTAATTAAATACAGATGTCACGGAGTGCATGTAAAGCAGCGAGAAAGAGATTATGGCAGAACTATAAGCAATTCTATATTAAGACACTTTTCTAATTTCCCTGATGCTTCTCTGCATTGATGTAAACTAAGGAGTCTAATTGGAATTCTTAAAAGCTAGAAGCTTGTTTTGTTTTGTTTTATTTTATCAGGAGGGTTAGTTAGGAAAGTTCTGTCATATTGGATAGGATAAGAAAATCTAGGCTTTAAATATTTGAGTATTTCTGGCTTCTAATTGTACCTTGCCACTGTCTCGTCTAAGCCACAGCTGGAAATTTGGAGACTTTCTGGAATTGCATGCAGTTTGATCGTAGGTAGGCTGTAGAAGGAATTTTTAGAAGTGTGCAACTCCAGCTGCGCAGGAGAAGCTCTTTCTGTGATGGAGATCCTTTGGATCCAAGCCAGTGACTTCAGGACATGTTCCAAACCATAGCAGTCTTCTTGAAGTTTTGGTGCCCCCTTTGAATAGCTAACTTACAAATGTATATGAAGTCAAGCTTTAAAAATAGCAAGTTTTTTTTTAATTCTGGCACTTTAATAAAATTCTTAAAAGGTAGGCTTGAATCATATGAGCAGTGGAAATGTGTGCGTTTGTGGGGAATCTGGAAGCATTTTGTGTTTTACTAATAGATTTATATAACAGCACTTGCCCTAGTGACTCATTCTCGTCAAGTTATCAGTGTTAGCATTAACAGTATGAAAATGAAGTTTCTGTGTGTTAATACTGTAGGTGTACAGTGGTCTTTGGAGACTGCTAATCCATCCAGGTGGTCCTCAGTGCGTGGGATGCTATAGGATTCAATTCAGTCCTGGTGCACTTTAACTTTCCCAAAGATTTGGAGTGGGATAAGACCCGTATACTGATGGCAGCCCTTGCTCTTGTTCCTGCCATATTATCCTAGAGTTACAACAGATTTTTCAGGTCACTTGTAGGTAAAAAGTGGCTTTGTAAGTAGGGAAAAATTGGTTGTTGTAGGTTTTTTGGGCTGTTTGGTTGTGTTCCGAAGGTTTTTCTTCCAAACGTTTTGCCAGTCTCTGTGGCTGGTATCTTCAGAAGACAGGAGTGAGAACTCTGTTGTGATAAGGGGGGAGATGATCTGTTACTGTGGCTGATGGGTGTCATTAGCCAGTCAATCAATCAGTCACAGTGACAGATCATCTCCCCCCTTATCACAACAATACACCCATAACAAAAAACACCTGGATCACCATAATCACCCAATCTCCTGAAAAGGACAAAAAGCTGATCCCACGCCTACAAACACTCAACTACACTACACCAGAACACAGACTGTCCTCCTGTCCTCTGAAGATGCCAGCCACAGAGACTGGGCAGAAAAACCTTCAGAACACGGCCAAATAGCCTGAAAAACCTACAACAACCATCGGATCCCAGCCATGAAAGCCTTCGAGAATACAGGGGAAAAATTGATTTACTAGATTTTGGTTAGAATTGTATTTTTAAATTTTAAATGCTAACTTTCTCTGAAGAATAATTACCTTAGTATTAAATAATGTATCACCTGAAATTATATTTCACCTTTCTCCCAAAGTGGCATTGGTCAAAATTCTGTTGGTGTAAAGTTACATGGCAGAGCCAGTTGACATCATTATCCAATGCCAGTAATATTTCATTTAAATGGATGGAAAACTTCCTCTCTGCATGTTCTGAGGCTTCCTAGGGCTCCCTTTGGCTTTAGGAGCCTTGGGACGGGGTGAGGAAGCCCTTGATATCAAACATCACAGCCAGTGGTCCCAACTCCAGTGGAGGTAATCTGTTGCCAGTTTTTGACAATTAAAGTCTTCCCACCCCACTCCATCTCATCCTGAGCTTTGTAAAGACTGCCTCAGGGTGAAAGGGAGGCATAGGGAGCCTTGTAACGTGAATTGGGGGAAATAGGGAGCCTTAAATTAATTTAAATTAAATATCACTATCACTGGATGATGATATTGTCTGGCTCCACAGCATAACTTTACACCGACAGGATTTTGCCCGTGATATATTGCTATAATATAACATAATATGAATAGAATCATGTCATCTCTGGCCAAGAGCTGCCTGGGATGGTGGTGGCTGTTATTACTTCTTGCCTTTTTAATTCTTACGTACATGATTTTCAGTCCACTCTACTGGCTCCTTCCTGTCTACCTTGTTTCCTTGCTGTTCAGAAGAAATGTGTCTTTCTGCTCTCTGTGCAACATAATGGAATAGTAACTCTTGCTTTGTTGAAAGTCCCTCTTGTGTGCTTCTAAAGACACAGAATGTAAGATTGTGATGGTCCATTAAAACTAGCTAGCTAATGGGGGTACCAAGATAAGGACAAATATTGATGCTTAAAATGGAAGCACCTTGAACACTGAATTTTTATCTTATCCACTAAAGCTGGACAGTAGGTATCTTTGCTCTATTACCAGTTTGGATGTCTGAAAAACTAAATGTTTTAGATTAAGAGACTCTAATATTCTTTGTTCTTTGTTCAGTGGAGAATGTTCCTGTGGAACCGTACTACATACCACTTTCTCAAGCAGACGTGTTACAGGGTGGAAGTGATGTTACATTGGTGGCTTGGGGCACTCAGGTCAGTAAGACTTCTGAGATGCTGGTGTGTTTGAGAAGAAAATAGTATATTGGAATAATTCATAGAAATGTTTTCATAAACTTAAGAGGCAGGAATTAAGTCAATCACAATCTATGAAAAATAAAATAGTCTTAGATCAAAATTAAATTGTTTGCAGTTGTATCCCATTGAAGTCACTGGGAGTTAAAATAAATCAGTTGGTAGCTTTTCCCAATGATTTTAGTCAAAGCAGAGCAGAAACAATGTGCGGATTCAGTCAAGTGTCTATAAGAAAGAAAAGCAACACTTCTAGAATGCTGAGCTCTAGAATTTTAGCAACAGTAAAAGGCCTAACATTTTACAAATGCATGCATGCTCACCATAAGATCTTAAACTTTATGTAAATTATTACTTTTTTCTGGTTGAGAGTTTAAATATGGGTCTTTCATACAACATTAAGTATAATAGTACAGTACTTGTGTTAGATTTGCCTTCTGGAAGAGACATATTTAAATACATTTTAGGTGTGAATTTAACTATTATATTAATTACTCAATTAATATGTATGAGTCACCTTTTAATCAAATGTTTTCAACTCAGTGACTAATAAATACATTAGGTTTAGAGTTAAAATACGGTTGAAACAAAATAAAATACTATTAAATCCAATAAGCCAAAAGAAATGAATACTGTAATCTGTGTGCTGCCAGTGTGGATAGAGTGGTGGATTAGAACTCAGACCTGAGTTCAAATCCTTGCTTGGCGTGGAAACTCATGGGGGATACTCCTTACATTACATACCTTGAAAACCCTGCAAGGTTCACTGTAAGTCGGGTGTGGCAGTGAATAATTACAGAGGCCACAAGGCATGGCCTTACTTGAATGGAATGATGGAACAGGTAATTACAAAATTGTAGACTCCCAAGATAATCAGCTTGGGAACTGGGAGGAAGCAATGCTAAACCACTTCTTGAACATGTCATGTCCCTGTAAAACTCCGTAAGGGTTACCAGAAATCAGAAGTAGATTGCTTATACATAATAACAAAAGGTGGTACTAGGAACATGGAATTGTGTGTCAGAATATCTGGGCTAGTTGAGCATATTTGACTGTATGAGAATGTTCAGTTACGTGCCACTTTAAAATATTGATGAAATTTACCCTTTAATAGTGCATCTAATATACTGCTGCATTTTTTCCCATACAATATTTAGGTTCATGTTATGAAAGAGGTTGCAGTTATGGCTCAGGAAAAGCTTGGTGTGTCCTGTGAAGTAATAGATCTGAAGACTATTCTGCCTTGGGATACAGAAACTGTATGCAAGGTAGGTATAGAAAACTGGATAGTGCATGTAGCTGTATGTTATTGATTTATATTTTGTTTATAGTTTATGTTTATTCTTTTGTTTATAGTTAATATTTTGACAATCATAAATATGTTGTACCAAGAATTTGCATATGAAAATTTGTTTTCCGAAATGTGGAATGTTTAGTCAACTCTAAGAAGTAAATCAAACTGATAGGACATGAGACTGCCAGATTTTTTTAAGGAGGGAGTTCTACAGTTGTGTGATATTAATTACCGTATTTGCCGGCGTTACAAGGCGACTGGCCATATAAGGCGACCCCCCAACATTTCCACTCAAAATATAGAGTGGACGACTCTGCTGCGGCACCGCTGGTGGCTGCCCAGGGCTCTGCTCGGGCCACCCTGGAAGTTCATGGCTGGCAGGGAGGAGGGCGAGGAAGAGGGTAAGCGGCTGGGCGGGCGGCAGCAGCAGCAGCAGGAGGA